AAAAGAAAACTTTGAGTTTTAAGCGATGTGTGATCATGATTGACTCACACTTCCTTTCTCTTTAAGGGCAAAGTACATTTTTCCAGAATGAGGACATTTCCAGTAGTTTGTTTTTCTTCACATTGATGGGGAAACGCTGGCAGATGGTAGCAGAAATGCTAGCGTATTAAAAAACAAGATCAATACTCCATGAACCATATTTGGCTCCACGTCTGAAATAAGTGGATGGCAGTTCATTTATCTGACTGCTCACCTTCAGGTTTTGTGCAGCTCACCGTTTGGGCAGTGGCTCATTTGCCAGAGACAGACAGGGTGCTATGAACAGAGGCAGTAATGCAAAGGCACATGTGGGCAACTATCAGTCTAAGGTGGCATGAGCCCTATAGGTGGCATTTAAGAACCTGAGGCAAGGTTGCATTCCCCCACTGAATATGCGCGGTTATAGTAGCAAGCTGGATGGACTGTCTTGCTGAGCCACACAGAATTGGAAAGCAAAGTCTGTGCGGTATGAGGGTGTGGTGACTGGCCATCCCAGGTTTCCTTATATGGCTGACCAGAGTAAGTCAAACTTCTAATCATGCCTACAGTACATGCTTTTTGAGTCTGTCTCTCTTCTTGTTTTATATAGTGTTATATATCTTAGGTTTTGACCCGAGCTTCTAAAACGGGAAGATCAGCGCTTGGTCTTCACTTCCCCTGTGTGTCTCAGCAGAGCACGCTTTCACTGGCTGGGTTGTGGCTGTGAGACCTTCCTTCAATTCATGCTCTTAGCAAACGATAGATCTCAAGTGAGCAGGCGATGCAGCAATGCAGTCATGTGCCATCTGTATGTGCAGTTTAAGGGTCCAGCGAGTGAGGGCTGGAAGGAAGAAGTAGTAGAAGTAAATCCTCCTTCCTTGTTTCCAAATGCCTTCCACCATTCTCTCTTCCTCCTTTTTCAGCTGTCCTTCCAAGGAGAGTCAGAAAAGGGCAGCAGCTCTTGATCGGATTCGCAGTTCCCCTTTCTGGCAAGGTCCTGCACACAGCACCCAATTCTGCCTTCTGCAAAGCCGTTTTTCGGTCTAATAGGGAATTTGTGTCATGAGGACATTGAGCAATAGGGTGGTAGTGGGGGTCCCTGCTTGACAGCCTGGCCTTGAATTTCATAATAGAATAGAATGCTGCTCAGTATATAGTAGCTTGTGAGGAATTAGGAAGGGGCCATTTTTAAGCATGCTGGACATAGCTGGAAGGATATGATGGAGTAACAGAGCAGGTGCTTATCAGCAGAAGGGAGTCTTCAGCTTGGTCTTGATCTTCTCTTTGAGCTCAGTCCCTCAAAGGTCCGTAAAATAGTTCCAAAAGCACACAAAAACAAACCGTCTGTCCTATAAACCCCATTTCAGAATCAGACAGGCAGTAATAGATGTTCGATTAGATTATTTAAGTAGTGGGCACCGAATAGGATTAATCTTCGCTGATCATATCTTTGTGACTTTGTAGATGGAATGAGTGAGAGCATTCTGATTTGCATGTTTGCAGGTTATGTGTGTTCTGTGGAGGATGTCAGCGGGAGGAAGGCCAGTGAGTCATTGTGGGGGAAAAAAAGCCACTTCTTTTTTCTATTTTCTATTGGCCGCTGTGGCCACGGAAATAAGCTGGGTTAGGGGCAGCACTGCTGTCAGCGCACGGCCTCGCCTCGGCCGCTTGCTGCCAAGCGCATCCCAGCCCGTGTGTTCTGCTGTGTCACACGGATGCATCCTGCGAGGCTTATGCCATGATAAAGAACAGAGGCATTTCCTCCGTGCCCTGTACAATGATGGCGGCACCCTAAAGCAGTAAGGTGGCCCTTGCTAATATCGCCTTCTCAGGTTCCATGCAAGAAGGAAGATGTCAGATTGCAGTAAGTTTGTGGAATTAGCCTTGCTTTATGTTGGCTATGGATTTTTAACAAGAAGCATGCATGTGTGCCTGAAGATAACTGAGACATTCTGCTTAAAATGACATCAGTGTATCTTTTAGTGACAGGGTTTATTTCAGGCTTTTTCTGGTTCAAAATTAAACATTGAAAGATACATGCATATTCTTTTACCTAACTTTATTAGCTGTGGGACCCTGCTTTTGGTATTTGTGAAGCTGGAGGCAGGTATGCTGAGAGCCTGATTCTGCCGTTAGCCCATGCAACTTTTATTCTTATCTGCCGTGTGCATACTGACACATGAAAATGCCATGCTGACTGCTCAAATGGAGTTTTAACTTCATTTGGAATCACACGCTCCTTGGAACGCTGGAATTATAAAGGGTCGTTGGGGATTGCTGGACTGTGTACACTATTTTGAAGATTCTTTGTAGCTAGACTTAGATTTTGTTATGATATTTTGCTTTTCAGTCAAGGTAATGCAACTTTTTGTGGAAAAGACTGAGAGATGTCATTGTATTTTTTGCTGAAAGGAATGTGTGCAATATAATTAAGAGGCGGGGAACCCTGTAATTAAGGGGACGGCCGCTGGATGTGCCTGTTTTAAATGTCCAGCCCTTTCTCTCAGTACAGAGCGCTGTATTCTACTTCTGCATCAGGAGCTACTTAAAGAAGCCTTTTATGACCATTAAATCCCACAAAATCCCACAAAGCTCAAGCAATGTAGAGCTTCACCTTTAACATTATACTTCTGTATATGAATGTCTTTATAGAATGACATATTAGGCTGTATACAGAATTTAAAGTTGGTTTTACTGGCTGTGAGTAACTTCCCAAATCCATCAATGGATTTTGGCAATAGCTATAGAGTGATTATAGCCAGGTACCACTGGGACACCCATTTCACCCACACAGTGCGCTGTGATCAATGACCCAATCACACCTTCTCCTGCATCTTAACTTACAGTCTAGTTTGGGATGCTTTTCCAATGCCCAGGCCTGCAGGCCTTGTGGTGCCTGCCCAGTAGTGAACATTTCAGGCCCAGAAAGTAAAAATCCAGACCAAGATTTTGTTTTAAACAACTAGTTGAGTACTCTATGACTGTGACTCGTTATACTCAACTGTTTGGAGCTCTTGCCACTCTCTTGGAGGTGGATGGCTCTCTGTTCTGGATCTCTAGATACTGTAGTTTTATAGTTATTACTGGATGGCCATTTGAGCTGATGGTGCAAAGCACAAGAAATTTAGTCACTGACATTCTAAGAAAAAGCATTTTCAGTTGTGTTCTGAGTTTTCTGTGAGTCATACTGCACATTTATTTCACTCTTTCACCCTCATGAGCTTCTGTATAGCAGTCACGGGTCAGTTGTGTGACAGCGTCGGTTCCATAGACAGGAGCAGAGAAGAAGAGCTGCACCTGTGATGCTAATCTGCTTTTGTCTGCTGGCCTCGTCATTGTCTGAAATCTCAATTGCAGGCCTATGCAGGGGTTGTGCCCTGTGTACAGTCTATTTGTACATGCATGAAAGAAGCGCGGAAGGAGGCTGTTCCTCCGGATTCCTAAGCAGGATTACATTATTGCTCTTGCACTGTACTTGCTGTGTTTGTTAATCAGATAACAACCTTTGGACTCTTTCTAATTGCAGTTTTATCACCAGAGGCCTGGCTTGGTTGTTTTTGGTCTGTTACCAGTCAACCATTAGCTTTTCCTCCAAAATGCCTCTACTGCTGTTCCTTATCCTGGCGTGACTATAATTGAACGTATCAGTGGTTTTGTAAGATCCTCCAACTCCCCTATAAACACTATTGTTGTAATTTCACAATGCAATTTGTGTGAGAATGATCACAGGGGTGGATGAGAATAAATCCACGGAGGAATCTGGGAGTAATGGGGATCTTGTTAAAAGGTGGTTTTAGGGTGGCCTGGAAATGAGTGGATTTCAGCAAATCAATCAGAATTATATCCACAGCAGAATGAAAAGGCCTTGTGGTACAGTGGGACACAGCAGCGGGGCTGCTGACACCATTCGAAAGGGAAGATCATAAAATGAATCAAAGGGCCATATTTAGAAGCAGCATCAGGGGGCCCTTTGTTATAGCTCAATTGCTGTGGTGTTCGCTCTTTTGCTCCGGCTGGGACTGCCCACTTCATCCGTTGGGTCAGGACAGACTGCCAGTTAGCATACACATTAGATGCTTTTGTTATCAATCATTTATATACTACAAGCATGGGTACAGAAATTATTACATATCCTATGTCACTCTCCTTTCAGACACATGTAGCGGTGAGAGGGAAGTTTGGAGACAGAGAGCAGGGTCAGCCCCTGGCGCAGTTAGGGTTTAGGACCTCGCTCAAGGCCCAGAAGTTGTATGATTACTCTGCCAGCCACAGGATATGAATGTGTTGTCACTTTCCTTCCTGCTGTGGTGCTACTACCATTGTTCACATTATGGTGCACACATCCAGCACCCCTGGGGAAGCACCATGAGCTACAAGCTGGTGGCATGCAAGTGACACAATGCAGGCCTGAATCAGCACGACTGCAATGCCCCAGATGCTGTTTGCTTAAGGTTTTGTTTCAGGAAGCGAGTTGCCAGGGAAGTAGCTTTTTTTCTAATGTTCTGCTCCTAGACATGGTGGCATTTTTTGGCAGGTACAGAAAGGCAATTTGTGGTACTGTGGCCACTTGCCGTCTCCGCCCAGTGAAATCCAAAAGGTCAAAGGTCAAACCGTAAAGCAAGGACTTTCTAACTAGAGTATTCATCCTGTAACTCTGACATTTGGCATCCCTTTGATTCATAAAATGTTTTTGCTTTAGTTTTGCATGGTAAAATAGTAAGGAAAAACAAAGTTATGAGTGAGCATTGGTGGTTCCTCTGCCTTTATATATGTACTTTGGATGTGTATTCTATGTGTATTGTATGTTATTGTTCACTGTTGTGTTATTCATGTTTATTGTTCTTCATCCTTATATGTTGTCTGCAGGGAGGTACCCAACCAAGTCTTTCATTGTACTTGTACAAATGACAATAAAGCTTTTAAATCCCTTTGTACCCTAGTTGCATGCGCAAGCTAATGTAGCATTCCCTCCTCTCTGTAAGGGCCTGAAGATTGTGGGCCTCGAGCCGCCAGAGCCATGATGAAAGGGGGGGCCACCAAGGGTGGGCTGCCCAAGCCAACCATCCAGGAGAAGGGCCGACTGCCCTCAGCCAGCTCAGTCATGGCAATGAAGAGCTCCAGGTCTTCTGGCACGCTGGCTGCAGACCTGCGCCTCAGCAGGGTAGGTTTCCAAGAGGACCCACAGTAACTGGTTATTGTTAATCAAACCCGTTTACTAAAACCTGCTAAGCAGGTACCCCTTATCACAGCCATTTTCCCGACCCACTCCACCCATACCTGTAACCACTTTAGTCCTTTATCCCTAGCCCTCCTGACCCTTTTCGCTGCCGAGCCAGCCCTGGCTACCCCATTATTACCCATTGTAGGGGCAGGGGTACTTTTGTTGTTTCTGGGGCACCACTCAAAAAGACACTAGAGGGCTCCCTGCACCCCCACTGTCTATATCTGTTGGGATATGATTGCTTCATGGTTGCATATAACATTGATGCTAGCTAGCAAATAGAGTCAGAAGATCATAGCTAGCTGGTTAGCAGAACATGCTGCTTCAGCATCTCCTAAATAAGGAACGTTTATTTAATATTTTCTTTAGTGACAGTTTGTGGCCAACAGGGGGCAAATGCATAGTTTAGTAAGCACTGCTGCTGTGTAGGGGTTAACATCTTTAGGAACAAGATCATCTCCAGTGAAGCAGGGAGGATGTTCTTCCATCCTACTCACAGCCTGCTAGTATTAAAAGATGAAAATGTCTAATTTCATCTGGCTGTCAGCCACACTCCTCTGAAAGCAATGAGCCAAGCCTTCAAACAGCTTCACGCTGAAGAGCCCTCGGGATTGTTTCAGAAGCGTCGGTGACAGAAGGTGATGTTTGAGGTGTGATGATGACTCTCGGTGTGGGCCAGCAGCTGAAGAGAGCGAGCAGCGATGATGCCCTGGCCAAGCCGCGCCTCGGGGCAGGGGCAGTGGCCGTTGCCTGCCGCATGAAGAAGACCGTCACCACAGGGGCCATCTGCGAGTTGGCGGATGCCCGACCGCGCAGCCTGACAGGTACAGGTGCTGTGACCAGCCAAAGCCGTCCAGTGTACGAGTGTGACCTTCAATGAAAACACAAACTGCATAGTATCACAGAACATTGTTTAATAAAAAGGGGTGGTGCACTAGTTAGCACTGTTGTCTCACACCTCTGGGACCTGGGTTCAAGTCTCCACCTTGGCTCCCAGTGTGTGTGTAGTTTGTGCGTTCTTCACATGTCCCAGGTTTCCTCCAGGTTCTCTGGTTTCCCTGCACAGTCCAGAAACATGCTAAGGTAAATTGGAGTTGCCAGGTTGTCCATAGGTGTGAATAGTGATTGTGCCCTGTGGTGAGTTGGCGCTCCATCCTGGGTTATTCCCTGTTTTTTTTTTTCCCCTGGCCTTTTGCCTGTAGCTTCCAGGATAAACTCTGGACCCCCACGACTCTACATATGACACGCGGGTGTAGAAAAATGGAGGAGATGGATGTTTAATAATGACATATTATATAATTTGAATATGATGTTTAAAATAAGGATACTTTCTTGTTTTTTAATACATAACACATCTATCTGTCAACTGCTTATCCTGCTCAAGGCCTTGATCCTATCTCAGACTGCACTGGACACATGGCTGGGGTCCACCCTGAGCAGGATGCCAGTCCATCACAGAGCACAGGGAAGGGGACACCCTGGATGGGATGCCAGTCCATCACAGGGCACAGGGCAGGGGACACCCTGGATGGGATGCCAGTCCATCACAGGGCACAGGGCAGGGGACACCCTGGATGGGATGCCAGTCCATCACAGGGCACAGGGAAGGGGACACCCTGGACGGGATGCCAGTCCATCACAGGGCAGTTTTAGAGATGGCTTGTCTTTATTCTGTGGGTAGGAAACCTTCATGATATGGATGGAGAACACCAGCCCCAACAAAAAAAATAGAAGTGGAATGTGAACCCCACCCCAGGAGGTGTGAGACAACAGTTCTAACAGCTGAGCCTCCATGCCACACACAATTATAACTACCGTATGAAAAAAATGAAAAAAATCAAGCAATTCAATACACAATCACTAGGTGGCACAGTCTATCAAACAATAACTGTCATTGTAGAGCTTGGAGTAATTTGGTTTTTGTTTCATTGTGGTCTGTTTTAAACTCAGCTCAGGAACTGCAATATGTGTTAGCTCTAGAATGACATGGATCTAAACTAATGCATAATCCATCTACACGTTCTGCAACATCTATGCTGTATCTTACCGTCCTTTACAGCCATTCAACTCCTGTCACACAGGTCACAGTGTGATTTATATCCACGCTCAGTCCTGCAGGCATTTGAGGAGCTGTTTTACCTATGGGCAGACCCTGTCAGTTTCTAGTTTTGAATAGGTACTAACATTTCTCAAATAAAGAAATACTGAAATAATTTGAAATGTAAACAGCATATGTAGTTATTTTCGCAAAGAATGTTAATAAACAGATGCAGATGCCATATTGAAATTGTATAACATCTCATTAAGTGCTATATAAATTTACATGGGAGCCCCAAAGTTTCATTAGTCTATAAATAACTTTGTCATGTTTAGGTCTTATAGGCTGCTATCAATATTAGAATGCACATCTTTAATGTTCCTGCATCCTGGCAGAATTGCTGGTGACTGTAGTACTACAGGACTGAGTGTGACTGACCTTTACGGCTCAGCCATGGGTCGGCCCAACTGAGCTTATGGAAAAACAGATGTAAAATATTCTAACGGAGGTGCCATGTGGGTGACTTCAACAAGAACGTGAACGAATCTTTTTAATCACTGCAAAGTCAGTGGAAAAAGCCTCCTACTACTGACGTGCTTGAATGCAACCACGTGGCCTGATGCTGTACAGGGACGATGTGGTGCTGTATGGGGATGGTGTGCTCGGTCTGTCAGTGTGCTGCTGTTCTCAGCCTATATATTTGTTGTTCTTTACCCAGACCTGTGTGATTCTCCCCAGTGACGACTTACTCGAGTACCTTTATTGGAGGATTCCCAGGCAGCAGAAATGGTCATGCTGACAGAGGATTCCCTTTGTTGGTAGTAGGCGAAGCAGACAGGAAGCGAAGGGATTAACCTATCTCGGCATGTCCAATTTATCACAACCAAATAGTAACAAAAAACTTTAAAAACATTCTATAGCCTCTCTTATTTTGAGAATAAATTTTGGTGAAATTATCATGGGTAAAATATTGTGTAAATTGACACGAATGACCTTTGCATGCATGACTGCACCTGCTTAAGTCTGTTCAGTGAGACGATCCTGTATTGTAGGGTGATTTGAGATGTACTGTCAACCTGGTTAATTGGTTGGCTAAACAATGTGATGTTTCATGAAGGCGAAATAAATAAACAAATTTTTTGAACTGGTGTTGGAAGTTGCACCGTTACAGAAAATTATGAGGCAAGTCTTAAAAATTAAATGTTGATCTTCAGAATTTTAAGGTGCTGAAATTAATGGAGCGGAGTAATAAAGGAAGAGCAGGAATGAGTGCTCTAGACCAGCACAGTGTTACCTCAGTTCTCGAACTCATTAGAACTCGAATTTCTTAAAAGTTCTTAAAATTACCTAGAGCTCGATCTGAATCTCAGAAGTCAAACCGTGAACACCGACCTAAGATAAATTGTACGCGCGGGGAAATGAGTCACGCGGCACGTCTCTCAGCGGAAACAAAGGATAACGCTTCAGTCTCAGCCTCGCATTCGCTGTGATAGCATCGTGCATGTTTACACTAACTGAATACATATATTTAGACAGTAAAAATACATTTAGACAATGATAGACAGTAACAGTATTATTATATAATAAAATACATTTAAAAATAAAGATTTCTTACTCATTTTAATATTAATAATAAACCATTAATACGTTTAATTATAATAATATTGTCGTGCCGAGCGGGGACGGAACAGAGACAAAGACACAGACGTCAGGGTATCGGGGAATACGGGGCTTAATTACAGGTAAGGCAGGCAAAACGCAGACGGACATTACAATGACCAGACTGGGGAAACAAACTGAAACGCGGACGAAATACAGAGGACTAATGACAACAACCAGAAACAGCTGATCACACGGGGATTCCACACGGGGTTAACGAGGGGGCGTGGCACGCGGAAGGAGCGGACGATCGGGGCAGGACACATTGTTTGGATACAATTATTTTCTTACTTTACAAATTACTGTTTTGATAAATGTGCTTAGATGTGTTTAGTACAGTATATGCTCTTCTTGTTTTATCCAGTTCATTTTGTTTAAGTGCTAAAAAAACATATTTAGGTGTAATTTTTTGGGGCCAGGAACCAATTAATTGGTTTTCCATCATTTGTTATGGGGAAAATTCGATCACAACTCGAACTTTTTAGAATTCGATCCGGAGTTCTGAACGGATTAAATTCGAGTTGTGAGGTACCACTGTATTTCCCAATCTGGTCCTCAGGGACCCACAGTCGGTCCATGTTTTTGCTCCCTCCCAGCTCCTTGCCAGACTCCACATTTTTGCTACCGGAAGCTGAGAGGAAGCAAAAACATGGACCGACTGTGGGTCCCCGAGGATCGGATTGGGAAACACTGATCAAAAGATGGTGGCGCAGGAGGTAGTGCTATCATTCGGCAACTGAAGGGTTGCAGGTTCGAGCCCTGGTTCCTCCTGACCCCATCAAAGTGTCCTTGAGCAAGACACTGAACCCCAAATTGCTCCCGGCGTGCAGGTTTGTGCCTTGCATGGCAGCCTCCACCACCGGCGTGTGGATGTGTGTGTGGATGGGTGAATGTGAGGCATAAATTGTAAAGCGCTTTGAGTACTCGTAAGAGTAGAAAAGCGCTATATAAATGCAGTCCATTTACCATTTACCATGATCTACACTGTGTAGCTAAATATCTTAATTGTTGGTTGTTCCCTCGTTTCTTTCAGTTGGAGGTCCATTGTTAATACTCAGTCTCACAATAATGCACAAACCTTATATTGAGTCATCTGAGCTGTTTAAATAGTCACATTATTACTGAGTGATAACCGAGAAAATGGTGCCTTTAGGGATATCTTCGGGCAGATGACTGAAACACGACTTGATGACTTTGTGTAGAAGGTATAGAGAAAGGATTTGTTTTTATGCAGTAAACGTCATATATAGATGTGCAAGCGTCACCAAAGTGAAGAACTGGGAAACGTAGGAACAGGAAGCCTGAAGCAATCAAACTGAGTGCCGCAGAAAGGGGTGAAAAGTGAGGCAGCTTTACATCAGGCTTGGCAACACTACTATAGCTACATTTAATCCCAGAGCTGGCAGCCAAAATGATGTATACACACACTTGGTATCATTGCCTAATTAAAATGGGTTTAAATGAGATTGTTTTAGCTTAATACAAATATTTTGTCCTTGAGTAAAGTGTTCATATTTTCTACATATCGAAGTTGTGTTTGTTAAAATGGCAAAGCTTTGGTATATCTTCTTGTCTTAAAAGCTATAGCATCATCAGAATTTACTTCAGGTTTACGTGGTATAGGCTGAAGCATCACCAAAGTTTACATCGGGCTTGGCAACACCACTATAGCTTCATTTAATCCCAGAGCTGGCAGCCATAATGATTTCAGTTTTAATTAAGTGAAATAAGTGCTATTCTCTGCCGAGCAGACAGAAAAGTCGGTATCTCATAAGCAACTGTGTTGTCAGGCTAAGAAACGATTGCCACAAATAAGCAAATGCTGAATTGGAGTATTCATGGATGAGGCTGAGGAGGGTCATCGTAACAGGTAGGCAGGGCCCCTGTCCCTAGGATATCATCGTGAATGAAGTGGCTTCGTCTTGGTGTTAGAACAGCATGTGGGGGGCAGGGTGCATCGTTAAGAAAGCTGGGGGTGGCTCAATTAGCCAAGTGCATTACTGAGGCCCTGCGCTCATTTCCAGCAGTAATTAAAGGTGGGAAGCATTATCATGATGTCTCCAGCAATACTGGGAGCCTGTCAGCTGTCTGAAAGCATTCCTAACTGCGTATGTCAACTTTCCGGGGTTTAAATCCTCCGGCAGCATATCAGAGTGTATGCAAGGGGGTCTCATGATAAATACATTTTTATTCCACATTTTCAGATATGCTAAACAAAAGCTGGCAGTAAGTACGCAATGTGCTCTGTAAGTAAACAAAGCAACTAAATGATTTCAACTCTGTACCATACGCCCTCAGGAATTTGCGGGCTGCAATGTCAGCTTGTCAGTGTGGTGCAGTAATTCAGGCGCATGCATTCTGCAGAAAGCTGGGGCCAGGATAGGGAAACATACATGGATTTTTAATAGAAAAAAAGCTTTTATGATTTACAGGAGCAGCGTGTGACAGATTTTTTTCTGCAGTGACTTGATCTGCAGGGAGACAGATAAGATTGATACGATATATAAGAATTTGTGTAACAGAAAGTGTTTGTGTAACAATGCAAAATTACCACACGTAAAAAAAGGTGAAAATAGCAGAATGACTGGATCGAAGGATCCTGTTCCATGTTGGTGCAGGGTGTCCTTTTGAAGTTTCAGACAACCTGGCTGGTATGAAACAGTTTATCCTACTGTTTCTCCACTCAGGCCCATAATTCCTTCTTGCCTTATTGTTCCCCAGATGTCTGCATGCACTGATGAATGAAGGGGCCAATCACAGTCATGGGGTTTCTGTGAATATATTGCTAGTGGCCATTTCCTGACAATCACCCTTCTGCGTGTTCTGTTACAGTCTGTTACAGAACTGTAAACTTTGAGTCACGTGACCCCAGAGGCCTGCTCTCATCATGCGCAGTGTGAAACCAGGGAGAGTGTGGAGGTCTCGGGGAGTGGAGGGGAGGGCCCCACCCCCCACTCAGATTGTCAGATTGAGAGTCAGATTGTCTCTAACCTATAGGTTAGAGAGTTTTCTGGTTATCCTGTAAGATGCTCTGGTCCAGAAGACCGGTATTTGTACATGGAGTGTCTTGCCCACAAGACCCAGAGCCTACAGGCCAGCAGAAGCTCCTGAGCTGACACTCACCTCCGCTGATTTTGACCTGATTCTTCCTGTTTTAGGATCTGCTTAAGGAGCAGTAATTGCCAGAGGGCCACCCAGTGCACAGAAGGGTTTACTACAATAACTTCTGCAGTTCAGCTCTGCCTTTAGTCTATGCTGATGGGAAGTATAATTAGTAAGAGTTGTTGCTGATGAGGAACCCTGATGCAGGTTCCTCAATCAGAGTGAAGCGATGGTCTGTTTATCTTGTGATTTGGTACAGCTGTCTTCATACACTTGTCTAAAAGTTACCGTAGTGTTCCTGTAAAAGCCCATACCGCCCTCCACGTAATTCATACCTAAATTACATACCTGAGGTATTTGCAGGTAAAGGTGTCACTGTAAATGCCTGAGAAAGGCTGGAATAACAGGCAAATAAAGCCTTCAGATTTCGGGTGTGTCAGCTAATCTCAGCCCTCCACACCTGGCTGCATTCAGGCACAGCAGCCGAAACCAGCAATTCCTGTGGGACATGAATTGCTGCCCGTTCAAGCATGTGTGGGTGGATCCTCCTGGGTTATGTACCTAATAGACATGGGGTGATTAGCGGTGGTGTCAGCATTCCGATGCTTTACCCTTGGGCTTTTCAAATTACATCTGTTTTTCAAAAAGTTAAAGAAATGTTTCCTAATTGATAAAGCCCTTGATTCTAAGGATATTCATGTTACAGGGATTTGGCTGTGCGCTGGTCTTAACAGGGCTTGTTGTTAAGGGAGCACATTAGTTAATTTGGCAATTTCTCTGTTCTTTGCTTTCAGAAGGAAAACATTTGTTGAATTGTTTTTAAATTGAATTCAGGTGCAGGTACCTTTGAAACTGCAGTCTCCTTTTGTTATGCTTGTAACTGTCTTTCTGAATTCAGTGCTTGAAGACCAGGGTTAGAATTATTTGAGCTGAAGCTGTTTATCCATTCATGATTTATATCTATTTTTGAAAAAGTCACACAGAGACTTTTCTCAGACTTTTTCATCTTTTTGAAAGTTTTTCTCCTGCCGCATGTCACTGTTGTCCTGGGTGATGGAGTCCACAGTGAGGCAATATGACAGTCACTCACTCATGTAACATGATTCATTTGTTTAGACATGAACATCCCCCTCTAGTGTCATTCCTATTAAGTGCAACCATGCCAGGAATATACTATCTGCTCTTTGGATCAGCGTGCTTTACACACGTGGTATATGTATGTATGTATTCCCAGCATTGGTTATGTACCCCTGTGATGGAGGCCGGTCGGATGCCGTGCGGTTCCCAGCATTGGTTATGTACCCCTGTGATGGAGGCCGGTCGGATGCTGTGTGGTTCCCAGCATTGGTAGCATACGCCTGTATTGGAGGCCGGTCAGATGCC